TTTATTACAAAAAAGCCGCCTAAGTATTACAGGCTAATCCGTAAATCCCAGCCTAGTAAAATATGTGACGGATTTGTAAATTGTGCCCTTTACAAATCTGATTGAACTTTTCTTTTTTTTCGTCGGGAGTTTTGCCTTTCTCATCTTTCTCCTCTCACCTTTTCCCACCTCTCCCGGCAGCCAGGGGCCCTGTGATGGGCAGTGGGGTATGCTCAGCCTCCTCCCGTGACCCCACTCTGACTTGACGTGTGGAGGGAGGATGGGGATTGTTGAGGGTACAAGAGGCTGAGAAAACCATGAGTCTCTCTTTGTATACCGTCTACCGGAACTCGGGTGTGGCCGGCGTCAGGGCTTGGGGCACCCTGGCTGCCTGGTTTCCACATGGGGAAGGGCTGTGGCGTTGGGGAGCTGTACCTCCTTTCCTGTGCGGAGAGGGGGGGATCAAGCTGGTGATCCTCAGAGCCACAGATGGCTGGCTGGAAGCGCCTTTGCAAGCAGATCTCCTCCTGCCCGTGAACTTGAGCCTTGAACTATCGTAAACCCCACAGCAGGGTGTCTCCAAGGTCCATCGTGTGTATCATCCCACACTCTCCTCTGTTGCGCTCCAGCGAGGGAACCAGCAGGGATTTGCCGGGGATTGAGTGCATTTCCAGAGACAGGACTTAGAAACCAGGGAAATCCCTGGCAAACTTCTCTGCCTCGTCTGCCGATTAGCTCTGATCTGTCTGCACCATGAGAAGCTTTTCGCTTGCTCGGCCTTGCACCACTCCCCTTGCAGCGCTGGGGTCCTGGACCTGCCACCTGCCACCTGTGCTCACTGGCAAGTTGCATAGCCTTTCTCAGCCTCGGTTTTCCCATCTGGAAAATGGTGGTAGAAATCTGTACCTCACAGGATCACTGTGCAAATTAGAGAGATGATGCAAGTGAAGCGATATTGCTGTCATCGTCATCGGAACACACCTCCTTGGGGAAGGCTGTGAAACGGAGGACGAGGATGGTGAAAGGCCCTCCTGGAAGTAAGAGAAATGATATCCTTCCCTCAGCAACTCACAGCCAACGCAGCCCCTCACCCCTGCAACTGGAGCCCTGGCTGGAGCCCAGATGTGAGTCTTTAAAGGAGCCGCTGCATCGAGCAGCTGGGAAGCAGATGATGGGCTGGGGACCAGGGCCCTCTGCTTGGCTCTATGCCTTGTGTAGTTCTGATCTCTGGGGCTGCACCCCAGCACCCCAGGAAAATGACTGCTTCCTCCCCTTAAAGATTTCTACAGGCAGAGAAAGGAGTTGGGATGGTTGCCCTGGCAACTTTTCTCCCCCTTCCCTACACTTAGGCCCTGCTCGGAGCTGGAGAGAAACGGAGAGAGGCAGGCTCGGGGCCAGCAGGCGGCAATGGCATTTGCAGGATTATGAGCGGTGTGACAGAGCAGCAACACTCAGAGGCCAGAGCCCTGGTCCCCTCGCCCCAGTTCCTGCTCACTTCCTTCCATCGCTGTCCCTGAAGCCATCCCCCTGAAGTTCCAGAGCGATGACCGCCGGGGGGTCCTTTCTGCCCTTTCACCTCCGTCCTTTCAAAGCAGAGGGTGCATTTGGAGCAGGATGTGGAGGTCTCCGTCGGCCGCTGGCCCTGCGGAGGAATGCCTTTCCCGGGTCACAGGAGGGTCGTCCATCACTTCTTGCTGGAGTCCTAAGATGGACCCCCTACGGTCCGGGGCTGCCTGAGGAGGCAGATGGAGGGAGGGAGGGGTGGGGTTCGGTTCAGAGGGACCGAGAGCCTGTTGGCTGGACCCACAAGAGCTACAGAAAAGCCAAGCTCTCTGGGGACAGAAAGCAAGAACAGAGGCTGCGATGAGCAGGTGACTCAGGCGGTGGGAGAGCAACCTGTGGCTCGGGCATCGGGCCGTTGCTTTCTGAGGACATTCTGGAAAAAGTGGGGCCTCCATCTGCTGGGTTTCCAAAAGCAGCAGGGGGACCGCGGGACCTCGGTCTGCGCCCACGGAGCTGAGCCGCCGCCTCGCGGTCCCTGGGAGCAGCCCGTCTGTGCTCTCCCACTCCCCTCGCCAACCTCTCTCCCGCGGTTTCCAGGGGAGGGTTCACCCCGTGTTCCGCATTCCAGGTAGTTAGCCAGGCACCGGAGAGCCGCTCCATGTACCTTTCCCAGCGCCCGTCCCGGCTGAGGGCACAGGGAAGGGCCTCCCGCAGCCCGGCCCTGGATGGAGCGCCGTCTCCTGCCCTTTGGCACCAAGATGAAAAGATGCAGGTTGTCCTACCCATGGTGGTGGTGCTGGTGGTGGGGAAAGCTGAGGGTGGGGCAGTGGTGAGGGGGCAGTCCCTGAGCACCCGAGTGTTCGCGTGTGCATGTGCATGCATGTGCGTATGTGTGTGCATGCATGTGTGCATGCATGTGTGCATGTTAAATAGAGATGTCCTCTTTTGTGGACTCAGGTGACGGCATAGTGATGCTTTTCGGCTTTGAGGAGAGGGTGGTGTGACAAGGTGGATGCAGAAGGACTGGAAAAATGAGGGTCCCCTTCAGTTGGAGGTGACATGGTGCCTCTCCCTCCATCCACCACTCAAAAGGCCCAGTTGCCAAGACATGGATCTGGGGAGGGGGGAAGTCTCAGTCGATGGCACAGCCTGGGGTCTGGGTTCGGGAGCTCCTTAGTCACCACCTGGGCCTCGTTTTCACCCCCTAACGCCGGGGGTCTTGATCCAGCATCTAGAAGGGTTCAGGGACCTGGAGAAGGCGCTGTGCGTAAATTAAATAAGAGTCCAGAGACGAAACGTAATTTTGAAAGGCATTATGGGGAGTCAGAGAAGACTAAGCTAAAGGAACTAAGTTCCCCTTGTCTCAGGACCCCTTGCTTTTTATTAACACAAATTGTCCTAAGGCAAGGTGGAGATATACGCATCAAAGGCCAGGGCTTCTATACAGAATTTATTGTCGGATTGGGGGAAAATTGCCTACGGCTGTTCAGGGATTTGGCCAGTAGGAGGCAATAACATGTAGATTAAGATGCCCTGAGCTATCTGGCAGCAAGCAATCCTTTTAGTACATCCTTTTCAGGTTTGGGGACATGCCCTTAGCCATCTCCAAATGATTCAGCCCTGCTGACCTGCTGGAATTGGCTTCCGGCACCCCCCTGTTGTCCAATCGGGGCCTGTAGAATGACCCACAATGCCACTGGGGCTGCATGGATCTGCTTCTCTCTGATGCAGGGTTTTAAATATATTTTTATTGATTTTACAGAGAGAGGAAGGGAGAGGGACAGAGAAATAGAAACAACGAGAGAGAGTCATTGATCAGCTGCCTCCTGCACACCCCCTACTGGGGATCAAGCCCACAACCCGGGCCTGTGCCCTGACCAGGACTCGTGACTGACACTCAACCACTGAGCAACACCAGCCAGACTCTAACGGAGAATTTTAAATGGAAGGAGGGCATATAACAAGAACAAGAGACGCACGAAGCAGGGTCCTCATGCTGCCTCCACACTGAATGCGTCTGCATGGGGCTCTCCTGCTCTGCAGCCCCCATCATCCGCCCACAAGGCCGACAGTCAAACCCCCACAGATGGGGGCACCGGGGCCCAGGCAGCGCCTGTAGGGCCGTTGGTGTGATGGGTGGAGGGACTGGTGAGAGCAACCCCAGCAGAGTCAGGGTGAGCGTTGCAGTAACCCCTTATTTATTGGGCTCCTCCAGCCCCGTAGTGGCTGGCTCTGCTCAATATTTTATTCCTGTTGCACCTGCTCAGGCAGCAGGCTGCAGGCGCTTTTGATAAATGGATTGAAAGGTTTGTCTAGTTCTGCTGAAGCTTCTGTAAGTGCCTCTGTATCTTCCACTGAAATTATATTGCCCAACTTCCTGTCGCGATTTCTCTCCCCAGTGACTCCTCTCTCCCTATCTGCCAGCTCCCGTGCACTCTCTCTCCTCCTCCCCCGCCATGCGCGTGCACGTGGCATACAAAGATACACGTGTGCATGCACTCACACACTCACCTGCACACGGGGCACCAATGGACAAGGCACCAGAGAGGGAATCTATCCACTGATAACGAAGTGCACCTGCATGCAGCACGCACCCTCACGTGCATGCTCCCTCACGTGCCCGCACCCTCACGTGCACGCACCCTCATATGCATGCATCCTCACGTGCCCCCACCCTCACGTGCCTGCACCCTCACGTGCACGCGCCCTCACGTTCACGCTCCCTCATGTGCACAAATGCAGGTGCGGTGAAACCTTCAGACTGCCCGTTCTGCACCCATCTGGTCCCTGAGCTCCGAGTGAATGATGCGGAGGGACAGTGCAGGGCCAGGCTCCCCAGAGCCAGGGTGGGGCTGGCTGGGCACACGCCAAAAGGTGATCCCTGCCCGAGTGCCCAGTGGGAGGAGCCCTCCCGCCCCATCCCCTGGCTGCCACCCCCAGCCTTCCTCCTTCCTCCTCCGCCCGCCCAGCCCCGAGGCCCGCCTGGCCAGCTGGAGGCTCCATCGCAGCCACATCTGAAACAGCTCAGGAGCTGCTGGGCCTGGCCGCCAGCCGTTTCCAGAAATAACTTGCTGGGCCTGGCTCCTGGCCCCCCCGGTGGTGATGTCATTGGCCACTGGCCCACCGGGTGAGGTCACAGGCTTCCCCTTCCTCTGCGCTGTTGCCCGGGGGGAGCGCAGAGGCTCTCTCGAGCCTGTCTGCACCCCATCCTGCTCCACCAGCCAGGCAGGGATGCAGGTTCGCCGCCATCTGCGCCCGGCTGCGTGGCGGTGCCAGACGGCGCCTCCCCCCTCCTTGTCGCAGTTACGGAGCAGCCTCCCAACTTTCCGTCTCCCCCTGGCTTCTCCCCTCGCCTGGATGGCGTTTCCAGGTGACAGCGGACTCATGCGCTCCGAGATTTTCCGTGAACGGCTGGCACCTCCGTGGAGCCCAACCAGCCCCAAATCCTCGCCGCTCCACCCACACGCTGTGTGACTTCCGACAGGCTGCTTCACCTCTCTCTGCTTTCCAACCTTCAGGTCGGAGGTCATGACAGGACCTGTCTGTCTCCAGGGCTGTCCTGAGGCTCACGGGGGCTCGTGCCTAGAAAGCAGCACATCCGTGGGCGATGACTCTGCTGATTCTGGGACCACAGTTCCATGTGCAGAGACGACAGGGTGAGCCTCTGTGTGTTGGGGAGAAGTGTGTGTGTGGGGGGGGCTCTAGCTTTTTCTGTTTTCAAATATGTGATGGGCAGAAGCATGGGTGGTGTCCTTTCCATGGCTCTCACTTCCCCACAGTCACCCCAGCGGGAGTGTCCCCAGCCTCCTCGCTCTGTGCGAGAGTCCCCAGCTCATCCGGGGAATTACCGACCACCTAAGAGCTGGAGGTGCCCAGAGCTGGGCCTTAGACACACTTTGGAAGCAGCTCCTGCAGGGGGCACTCTGAGCCCCCACCGGACCCCACCCTGCGATCACTCCCAGCAGAAGGAGCCTGACTCTGTTCCTGGTCGGCCCTGAAGTCATCAACACAGACCAACATCCTAAGACACAAGCCGACCAGCTGAGGAGCCCGTGTGTGTGTGTGTGTGTGTGTGTGTGTGTGTGTGTGTGTGTCGCCGTGGGTCACATGTAGCCGCTGAGCAGTGACGCAGGGCTAGTGACGTCCTCCAAGCATAGATTATGCACCAGATTTCAGCCCTTTAGTATCAAAAAAAATACAAAGAAGCTCAGGAACAACTAACTCCTTTATGGTTATTACATTTTGAAAGGATAGTCCTTAGCGCATGTTGCGTTAAATAAAATATACTATTAATCTCACCTGTCTGTTGTTTTGTTTTGATATGTTTGGGTTGTGGTTATATTATATATATATAAATATATATATAATTTTTTTGTTTTTTACTTTTTCAATGTGGTTACTAGAACATTTGAAACTACAGATGTGGCTTGCATGCGATTCGTGTTGGACAGCGCTGGGCTACTGTCTTGCTGCGTTCTGGAAAACACCCATTGTCCTGCCCCTCCCAGGGGTTCTGACCTGGTTGGCGTTGTGCCTTCAGAAACCAAGGGCTGGTACCTTCAGCTACAATACCCACCCACCGGCCCTCATTCAGAGTTCCCAGATGAGAGAGATTCCTTCTGGCTTTCTCCCCGTGTGTGGTTTCTGCCTACCCACCGCCCAGCACCATGAGCTCGCCCTTACCTACTTAAGGGAAGACTTCCCAAGGTTGGCCAGGCCCCCAACCTCCAGTGCCAGTGGCCCCTCTACGTTTGTGGTCACACCCCCATGATTTTGCTCATCCTGGGGCCCCTGCCTAGAAATGTTGCCCCTCTTCTTCACGGATATGGGCCTTATCCATTCTTTAAAAATCTGGGCCAGAGGTCACCTCCTCCATGAAGCCTTCCCAGACCTCTTCAATAGCCAAATCACTCTAGGCCACCAGAGAACTGTGCCCCAAACTCAAACTTTTTATGAGGAATTTGCCCCCAGAGAAAGCACCGTGCGACAGCCATTTCTACTCATGCCAATCCCCAGGACAGTCTCAGAAGGCAGCTACTCCGATGACTCCTCGTTGCTATGCGAGGACGCGGAGGCACAGGGGGATGAAGCATCTCGCCAGGATGGCGGTTTGTAGAAGAGGAAGTAGAGCTCCAGCCCTGGGGTTCAGTTCCATGCTCTCCCGGCCCGGCCTGATGCCCATCGCACGAGGGAGATTCATGTGCCTCCGACGCAACAGAAGCGTGAGAACCAGCACCGCGGTGTGTCCATCGCTAGCCTCTCCCTGCCTCCTGGCCAGGGCCAGGTCCGGGGCCACAGCAGGTGCCCAGTACGCGTGACCTGCCTGAGATCCGCCCTGAGCCACTGGCTCCTCAAAGCCCTCTCCTGGCTGCGCTTTGAAACCGACTCCGATGCCCACACCTCCAGAGGCTGCCTCCCAACCCTTCCCGCACCCGCCCCCGCCTCTCGCTCCTCCACTCCGCCCCTCCCTGCCTCCCCAGGGTCCTCTCGGCGCCTGTTTAAAACTCAGTTACTATCCTGCGACCTCTGCCAGCGGGAATTAATTCCCCGGTTACCACTGCATAAAAGCGAAGCTCTCTCTTTACGGTCTCTCCACGCTTGCCCTTTCTTTTCACGCAGGCCCCTCCGCACTTCCAGGGAATAAATAAATACGGAGTAACTTTGATCAGCCTTGAATGCCGGGCCTCAGCCTCTGTCTGGAGCTGCCTAGAACTTCAGCCTCCGTCGGCGGTCAGGAGGTGCGGGATCAGCCCCCCTGTGCGCCCCAGCCTGAGGCTCTCTGCTCCAGGCTCCCTGGGTCTGCACCCGCCAACGAGCGGCAGGCCCTGGCTTGCAGGAGTGGTTGGTGTGTGTGTGTGTGTGTGTGTGTGTGTGTGTGTGTGGAGGAGGGTGGAGCCCATGACCACCCCCACCTGTGACTGAGTGAAGTCCTCCCAGGGAGACAGGTGAGCCTCGGGCTCCGGGCTCCGGGGTGGGCGGCTCAGGGGGGTCCGGCCCTGCGCTCCCGCCGGAAGGCAGGTCTGTGTGAGGCCTTTGTGGGCCCCGATCTCCTGTTGTGAGTCAGTTGCGGTGTGTGTTTGGCTCCAGGGACACGGCTCTCGGGCCGCTGGCCACTCGCAAGCACGCCTTTGAAGCCCGGGGCTGGCTCCATGGCGGCGGCCGCCCTCAGCGCGGCTTGGCAGAGGCGCTCACGGTGAGGGAGTTTCTCCGGCCTATCTGGGCCTTCCCCAACCGACACCCCCATCCCACGCCTCCCCGCCCCCCCCCCCCGCCCTGAAAATGTTCCTGGTGATGGAGGCCACTATATCTGAGATAATTGCTTAATTAGGGGAAAATTACTTAAATTTCAGCAGCAGCGGCAGCAGCCAGTGGGCCGTCCTGCCTATAAAAGGCTCTAAGACGCAGCTCGGAGAAAGGAGATCACCGCCCACTCAGCACCCATGCCCCCTCCTCCGGGAGAAGGGGAGGGAGAGCCTGGCGTGGGTGTCTGCCGAGTCCTGGCCCTTTAGCGCACGCGCACATGCACACGCACACGTGCACACACCTACGCGTGCATCACCTTCGGCACCGGCTCAGCTGGGCTCTGCGAGACCCCGGCGAGCCTGCGCTTTTGCCCAGGGCCAGGGCCCCCGCTGCTCGGCCAGGGGCAGGGAGCACATGTTGCAGCCGTTCGGGGCCACGTGGTCTCGGCCGCAGGTGGCCCTCGGAGCGGGGGACCAGGCCGACAGATGGGCCTGTACGGGCATGGCTGCGTCCCGGTGCAACTTCGTCAAACAGGCAGGAGGGCGGGTTCGGCCCCTGGGCCAGTTGCTGACCCCCATCCCAGGCTAAGCGCTGGGGATGCAGCTGCTGGGACCGGCTCAGGTGGTTCTTGGTGCAACGAGGCGAGGAACGCCACGCGCCGCCCACGCACCACGGGCCCAGGGAGCCGAGGGATGACCACGCTCAGCTGCTGCCGGGCGTGGTTATAAAGACGGGCTTGGCGGGGGCAGGCCTGGTCTCCCGTCCTTGCTGCGTGAGCTTGGGCCAGGGGCTAAAATCTCGGAGTTCCCGCTTCTCTTCTCCAGATTGAGAGTAGCAATCGCCCCTTCCTCCCAGGGTCACGGGGACCCTAAGGGGGACGGTGCGGGTGCAGCTCTTGGATCTGTGGACGCATGGGGGGGCCCCCTTCTAGGGGTGGGAAGAGAGTGTGCTTGGATCTTCGAGCTTGGCTCTCAGGAGAGTCCGTGCTGGGAGGATGTAGGATTTCTGTCTCCTCCTTCTCTAAACGTGCCATAATCCTGTCATTTCTTCTGATTGTGCTTCCGGGGGACCACTGAGCTAGTGCAAAGCAGGTGGGAAGCGACTGGGTGGGCTCTGTGCTTCGGCAGCTTCTCTGGCCGCCCCGCTGCCCCGACAGAGGCAAAAGCTGGCCTGGGTGAGCTGACTGCCCGCCCCTAAGGGCTGCCCTCACCTAGCAGGGGTGTTGTCCTGGTGGGGAAAGCAGTTTGCCAGGCTGTCCACGGGGGCGCTGGCGAGCAAGCTCCCGGCCCCTGCTCCTCCCAGCACCCATTCTTCACTCTGATTCTCTCCCCTTTCTAGACCGCTCCCTGCCCTCAGGTCCCCTCTAGACAGGGCCCCCAGCCCGAGATCCTCCTCCGCCCCTGGGAACACGAGCAGCCGCCTCCTCAGGTGTCCTGGGCTGGGGAGAGGCCTCCATCTGGAAGGAGCAGCCAGTGGGTGTCACTGGGCTTTGGGGCCCAGATGTCCCCCTAATGTTGGTACCAGAAGACACTACATGCCTGCATCAGGGTTGGTTGCTAAATGTGGGGCAATCTGGGCGGTGGCGGGGGGAGACAGAAGCCCCAACAATGACAATGAGCAGTGACGATGTTGCAATGGACAGAGTGTCACAGGACAGAGTGTGACGGGACTTGGGGCCATGGGGTCTGGACGGATGCAGCAAGAGCAATTCAGGGCTGAGACCCTGGGTGCGAGGCCAGTGCGCGGGAATGAGTGGGTCTGGGCACCGAGGTCTTGCAAGTGACCCCAAAGAGGCTGTTGCGCCCCGGATGCTTCTGGGAGAACCGTCTTAGCCAGGAATGGCAGACACCAGTCCGCTGGCATGTCCGGGCCTGTGTGAGTGGAGGCCCGTGTGCTTACACGGTCACTACACCGTGTCGAGTCCAGACACCAGCTTCCCTTAATTCGCAGTAAAATAGTTTGTGTATGTAGAACAGACTGCTGAGCCCTCGCTGGTTTGGCTCAGTGAAGAGCCCCAGGTTTGATTCCTGTCAAGGGCACATACCCGGGTAGCGGGCTCGATCCCCAGAAGGCGGTGGGCAGGAGGCAGCCAATCAATGATTCTCTCATCATTGATGTTTCTCTCTCTCTCTCCCTCTCCCTCTCCCTTCCTCTCTGAAATCAATTTAAAAATTTAAAAAAAAATTTACAAAATAGACTGCTGAATGGGTCTGACTGCAAGGACACAGTGGAGGAGGAAGGACAGGACTCAATCCTGGACCACAACTGGCCTGGGAGACACAGGGTGGTAGGGAGAGAGCTGTTTGGGCTCCCTTAGCTGACAACTCCTTCCTGGGGTCTGTTTGCTCCCCACTTTCACGCACAGTCCCCTGGCCTGCTCCCAGGCTGCTGCGAAGCAAATGAAAGCAGCGCCTGCTACTCTGCCCTGACCATCTGCACCCCTCCCAGGGGACGCGCAGGAGGTCAGGCTGGGGCCCGGGCTTTGGGGCTGGGCTGGCAGGGGTCCCGTCACGGGGGAGAGGCCGTGGATCCGGGCTGTCCGCTTTGAGGCGCCTGGGCAGCAAATTAGGCACCAGCAACAGGGCAAGTTAACGGGGCTGGTGCGCATGACATGGTGAAGCGGGCTTCCTCCTACCTGCTGGTTCTGGGCCTGATCCGCCTGCTCCCCTGCCCTCGCATTGGCCCCGCCTCCCCATCCAGCCCCATCTGCACTGCAGCTGCCTGTCAGGCCCCAGCCTGACGGGGAGGCCGTGGAGTGGAAGGAGCCCCAGACTCTAGAACAGCGGTTCTCAACCTGTGGGTCGAAACCCCTTTGGGGGTCGAACGACCCTTTCACAGAGGTCGCCTAAGACCATCGGAAAACACATATATAATGACATATTGTTTTTGTGATTAATCACTATGCTTTAATTATGTTCAATTTGTAACAATGAAAGTGGGGGTCACCACAACATGAGGAACTGTATTAAAGGGTCACGGCATTAGGAAGGTTGAGAACCGCTGGTCTAGAAGCTAGCAGGAACTCTGACCTCAGCCCCACGTCCGCCTCTTGGCC